CATTCTTTTTTACTTTTCTGATTCCGTAAGCACTTGACAATTAATTTTCCTACTGCTTGACCCTTTGATCAGCTTGTAGGAAATGCTGTGGGAGTGGCAGGGCATATTTAGACGTGTTTACTTTCTTTCTCGGTGAGCTTTACTCTCTTGGTGAGCTTCAAGTTTATGATCTAAGCATAGTCTGTTGCATGAAGATTAACCACTTTCATTTTTAGCTTATTACAGTAGAATGAGAACTCTTGTATGTGTTATTTTTAAATGTTGATTAACTGGATGTCAGTTTAAAACTTCCGCTAGCTCAGAAGCAGCTTTTTCCAGCTATCCATTATACCTGTGGATATCTAGAAATAGATGAAGGTTGTATTACTCCTAAGGACAAAAACTAAAGTGATCACCTATTGCCAAAATCAGAGAGATGCTTATGTTAATAAAAAGATGTTGGAGATGAACGAAAGCAAATAAAATTATTAGAAAGTTTACCCATTTTTTTTACCACTGATATAAACAACCCAACCACGCACACACACACACACACACACACACACACACACACACACACACCCCTCATCATTTTTTACCAGGAGCAACACAGTTGCAATAGTGTTCTCGTTAGTCTCTAGTTTTTAGACATTTTGTACCTTTTTATCTTTACAGTAGCCAGATTCATACCAGTCCATCCTCTACATAAAGTGTAGAGTAAGTTCTCTGACACAAAGCATTAATCAAATGATCCTTAATTAAAAACCTCTAGTGACTGTCCATTGCCTTCAGTATTACGCAAAACAAAACAAAAACAGACAAAAATAAGAAATACCTCACCCCATCTATATGTATATGTATATGTATATCTATATCTATTACAAGTGGTTGGATTGCTTATATTAGTGGTAAAAAGGCACTTTGTTCATATTTGTTCATTCAGACTTCTGTGGCTCTGGAGCCTTGGTTATACACACTTAAAAATCCAACAATCCAACCAAGTGTATTGTTATGAAGGCATCATTCTAAAAATACTGCATCTCATCTCAGTTTTGTACAAATCAGGGAAGTAGATATCATTACATCCATTCTTACAAATATGGAACTGAGAAACAAAGTGGTTTATCTGACTAGTCACGGAAATTTTAAAAATTTCTTCTTGAGAAACTCAAAAACAAACTATGTGAAGAAAGATTTGTTATTTGGTGGCATTTAAACATGGTTTGTTAAGACTCAATCTAAAAATGGAAAGCTTTTGATGTAAAAAAAATTAGGTAAATAACTTCGTCTTTCTAAAGGAATAATAAACATAAGAAAAACATTATGAGAAAAGGCACATTAAAATTTAATAAGTTTAAGAGAAAAAAGGACATGTAGTGCTTCTTCCAAAGAAATCTAAATATTGCCTGTTGTCTTTATGCTGCTAATCAATGTATGGCTGTTGTTTCTGTACTGGATCTCGTGTTTCCTTATTTCAGTGAAGAAAAATAGAGACTGAGAAATTAATTAGATTAAATAATTGGTTAACTGGCCTTTTACTTAGGTACTTGGCAGAAGGTTGAAGTTAAATTTTTACATTAAAAATTAAGATAAGTATATTGGGCCACATCCATTTCTTCTGTTACTAAAATGCTATGCGTTTTGTCACTTCATGTTCTTGCTCTTTTGGTTTTGAGGGATTATAAATATCCCATATTAGATTCGATATGCTCAGAATAATTTCTCTATATTAAATAATATGATGATTATTCTTGAATTCCATACAACCATTTCCTGTCCCATAAATCATATATTTAAGTTATAAAAAAGCACAATAAAACCCAGGAACCCAAGAAAGATCCTTCTACTACACTATTAGTGTGTGCTTTCCAGACTGAGGGGGATGTTCCATTTATAACTTTCATTCATTTCCTATCACTGTGGCCAAGTTTCCACTTATTAGGTGTCTCCTTGCCTTAATATTAACTTCTAGTCTGAAGCACTGTAAACTGTTTCTCTACCCCTAAATTAAAGCAAATGATACCTAGTCCATATTCACCACTAATCTTACTAGAAGCCACTTCAAAGATTCCATTTTTAAAAAATGAAGTACGGCCTCTGCTTGCTAAAGCCAAGGTTGGCTCTATTCTTAATGAAGTTAGATTTTCTTTGATTCTCCTTCTCTTCAAACACGGACAGTTTTCTTAATATATTTTCTTATTCTTCTCTACAGTTAAGCCTGCTTGTTGTGTTTTTGTTGTGGTTGTTGGAAGAGGGGCGAGAAAAGGGCACTGGTGAAAACCTTTCTCAGTGCCGCTCAGATCCAGTGCACATGTGTGTTTGCAATGACATTCCAGTACCACATGTGGCTGTCTTTCATAAACATAAAGGTTTCAAAACATCTGAACACTGTCTCAGTTACCTACAGTTTCAAGAGAGCAGTTGTAGATGTATCTTTCTTATGCTGTCAGTGTGTTATCAAACTCTATGCCAGCTGATGGCAAAAAGACAGAAAGCTCTACAACTCTTTAACTTTTAGTTTCTTCAGCACATCTCTGCTTTTTGACCATGTTCTCAATCATTTATAGTAGCTTCTCTGGCCTCATATCATGTTGCTTATTATGCAGGCTTCTTTTACTCTCTTATCCATGTATTTACACTGTGACTATAAATTAAGCTCTGGGGCAATGTAACACAGAACTGGAAGTATACTATTGCTTTCCTAAGACCCTTCTGCCCCAGCGTCCCATGTACACAATAGAGCTTGTGCCCATGGCAGAAAAACAGAAAACACAGATCCTGACATTTAGATATTCCATCACAGGAACTACTGAAGGGTATAGTATAAATCTCTCCCCGACACACACACACACACACACACACACACACACACACACACACACACACAAACACACAGATCTTAAACAGGTCAGCTTAAGCTGAAAACGTGTTTCTTAAAATATATATTTATATATATTAATATATAGAATATATTATTTTCATGTATTATATAAACAATATATTAATAATGCAAATTTTATATGAATATATATGTTCTTCTGGCACCTGCAGTGCTACTAACCTATAAGCATTTGAAAATAACTCATCTGCTTAGGTCTTTCCAGTTCTGCAGGTATGTGAACTTGAACCCTAAAGTGACATGAGGGTCTACAAAAGGCGGTGTAGTATAAAGAGAGATGTAATATTTCTCCTCCACTCATAGCCAAGGTCATGGGACATGAATATGCTTGCTCTCTCCCTTTATGGCGTGGATCTTTTGCTGATTCGCCCTTTGACTGGGGTGTGGTCTTTGGGGAGTGCTGGCCTTACACATGTTCTCATTCTTGTTCCTTATCTTACTTAGGCCCAAGGTTGTTTCCTGTCCCCTCTATGGCTGTAATAAAATGAAAAAATGGCCCAGAATTTCAGTCCGAATCTCTCTGAAAATAGAGACAGTGCAATTCAACCAATCTAGCAAATTTTATAAGCCTTAATTTATCTGAATACGTTAGTCTTCTTTTAATTATTAGGACATAATATTCTCCTTCCCCAAGGACTTTTCCCCAAGAGATGTTTCATCAGTTTAAAACATTTTTTTTCACATACATGCACACACACACAACACATACAGACCATTTTAGGGTTAGTTCCTTCTCATTTGTTAGATAAGATTTCAAGTTACTTCTTCAAATAGACCTTCCTTAACCATTAAAATTGCATTGGGATATCAGCAATGTTCTGTTACTCAGGCATTTTCAAGAGGCAGATATAGTCCAGAAGCAGAAGTTTGGGGTCCCAGATTTTGTACTATAGCTCTTTATTCCAAAGAGCTAAACTGTCATTCACTCTATAATAAATACGCTGCACAAATAAATGATTGCTCTAAGTGTTAGAATATAGAAGATATATTCATACAGAGAAATGAGAGAGAGAAAGATAGCCCTTCAGAAACACTTAATAAGTTACAGTTGTAGCTGAACACAGGACCCTGAAGTGCTGCCTAGTTTTCTATTGTTTCAGAAACTAGAATACCTAGGGAAAGAAAATTGTAAAAATTCCCACGCCTAATAGACCATGGAATAACATTTTCTCTTTTCTCTGATTTAATAGAATATTCCTTTCTTGCTTCCAGAGGATAAATAAGGATTTGTACACATATGTTACAAAGTCAAAATAAGCCCTTGTGGAACTTGATCTTCCCATCGTTTTTTAACTTCTGCCAAACAACTGTAGACTTCAGGACTGTGATAGTAAGCTTTACATATTGGTTTTCAGCCTCACCAGAAAGCTTTTATATAGTCTTATCTTGGTAGACTATATGGCTGTCAAAATCTTGAATTCTAACAATATCAAATGAATCTATTTTTAGCTGCATTTAAGAACCTGACATTAATTTAAAAATAATACTCTTTTAATGCTACTTATGTCTATTCTTTCAAAAGAATAAATTTAAAATAACACAGAATTTAATAAGCAATTTGTAATCCTCCAACTTTCTAGATCTCTTCATTTTATCATATAAAGGGATATACTTGATTAAAAAACATAAGTTTTACAAAATGTAAGCTTGCCAACATCAGGAAAACATTTTAAGCAAAGTAAACTATATTTCAGCACTCTATTTTGCCATCATAGAGCATGAAATCTCCAAAAAAAAAAAGCATTAGTTTTATGATTATAATTGTCTACTATTTTTGTGTTTTACACTGCTAAAAATGCCATCGTATTTCACTCTATTAAATGTTATGGTTGACAATATAAGAAGAAAAACAAGCAGACATAACTCTGCTAAGACTAATACTTCTAAAAAGAAGAGATTACAGATTTTATCAAATCAAATTAACAGTAATAAGACATATCCATTGCCCTAAAAAACGTGAAATTTACAAATATTTCCCAAGTGCCTGTCATGTGCAGACACTGGTCAAAATGAGATTCATAACATTTTATAAAAATTGTAAGAATACGTCTCTCAGTATGTTTATATTGCAGATAAAGATGCACACCCTATGCACACACGTAATACACAAAGTACAAAATACCTGAAGGGCCGTAAGGATATTTGCTAAGGCTTGTCCATATGTGTCGTGACAGTGAACAGCAAGAGCACCCGGTGGGATTTCTTTCATCACACTTTCCAGCATTCTTTTCATACTTCCTGGAGTTCCCACTCCAATTGTGTCTCCTAGAGAGATCTCATAACAACCCATGCCGTACAATCTCTTAGACACCTGTTGATAAAGGTCAAGTGCTAGTAAAATAATGGAAGTGAAGAGATTCAAACACTCTTGTTCCTCAACTAATATCAGCTAGAGGTAAAAATTACAACTAAGACCATTTATGTCCATGAAAAATATATAATGTATTTTCTGGTCCTTTTCTTTGCTAATTATATTCTAAACAGTATATAAGACTTTGACATTACTGCAATTCTTTTTCTAATATTCAGGTTTGCCATAGAGTCATATCTACCTATCTTTTTATCCAGCTATTTGTTCCACTATGAAATTATAAGTTACAGTGTCAATTGTGGGAGGCTTATGTTTCTTAACACTATAATCAAACCAAAGCATTACAGATTTACTTTAGAAGTAGTATTTCTCAAGGTATTAGTTTAGGTGTCAAAAGGTATATATACAACTGATGCTTAAGCTACACAAATTTGAACTCTGTGGATACACTTGTACAGGGATTTTTAAAAATAAACATATGAAATTTTTTTGGAGATTTTCAACAATTTGAAAAAACTTCCAGACAAATCGCATAGCATAGAAATGTCGGAAAAAGAAAAAGGTATGTCATGAATACATAAATATATGTCAATACTATTCTATTTTTCTCATTTACTACTATAAAATAAAACAAATGTATTATAAAAAGTTAAAATTTATCAAAACTCATGCATACAGACACAGACTGTAGATAGTGCCATTTGCATTCAAGAGAAATGTACATGTAATGATTCAGTACTAAATCATCACTGCATAAAATTAACTGTAGTGCATACTGTACTACTGTAATAATTTTGTAGCCACGTCCTATTGCTATTTCAGTGAGCTCAAGTGTGGGTATCCACTTAAAATCCTGGTGATGCTACTCATCTCTGTATGAACAGTTCGTCTCTCCAGTAAATTGCATATCACAGTACAAAGTGATCTCTTGCAGTTCTGATGTGTTTTTCATATTTAGTGCAATACCATAAACCTTAAATAACACCAGGAGACTCATAAGAACTGCAACTAGTGACACTGGACGTGCTCCCAAGAAGCAGAAAAAAAAGTTATGACATAAGAAAATGCTGAATTGCTTCATATGCACCATAGAGTGAGGTATCCAGCTGCATTTGCCCACCATTTCAAGATAACAAAAAACAAAATAAGTGTTAATTGATGGGTTACAGGCTCTCACTCAACAGTAAGCTATTAGTAGTAAAGTTTTCAGCAGCAAAATTTTACCTAGATTTTTGACTGTGCATGTGGTGTCTGGGATTCCTAACCTCCAAATTATTCAAGGATCAACTATATTAAGTTCAGCTCTTTCACTAAGTAGCTTTGTTACCGGTAAAGTCATTTAATATTTCTGGCCTAATTTTTCTGGCTTATAAGTACATATACTTGTGTGAAGTAAATTGCAAGATCTCTTCAAGCTGAATAACGTTACTTTCAAAGAGCAATATGAATTTGCATAAAGGCAGCATGGTATTTTGACAAAGGCATGGGTTCTGGAATCAGAGAGACCTAAATTTAAATCTCAGCTCCCAGTCCTCTTACTCGTGTGACACTGGGAGGAAGATTAGCCTATTTAACACTCAATCCCTAATCTGCGGAATACAGACGACAGAACATATTCTTTTAGTGTATTTACTAAGCCTTGGTTACGTTGTTTTAAAAAAACATATGATAAAAGCAATTTAATAATAACATATTTGGTTCTAAAAGTGAAATAAGAATGTATAAAAGTGATTTGATACATAATCTGGCACATGATACTGATTTGTTCATTCATTTATATGTATTTCATCCATGCCTGTTTTATGCCAGGCACTGTGCTAGGTCCCAGGATAGAATGGGGCAATGAATATTGACATGGCTCATGTTATTACAGATCCTGAAGTCAAGTGAGGATAGATCTTAGTCAACCTTCCTGAGGAATAAATCAATAATAGCTAAAATAAGAATTTTCAAACAAAGAAACAGAGTTCTAAGAGCATGAGAAAAGGAGATTGATCTATATCTGTCAAGATTAGGACCTATGTGACAACTTGAATTTTTTTTTTTTTTTTTTTTTTGAGCAGGGTTATATGATGATATTAATGAATTAACAGGAGTGTGCCATGAAGGCTTAACATACTTTAATGTATTTGTAGAGAGAAAATAATAAAGACAATTAGCGCATAGTTCCAAGCACCCTTAAGAAGGGTACTGTTTACTCACGTTTATAATGCCTTATGTAAAGCTATTTGAGTAGAAAAAGTATGCGGTAAAGGAGGAAATGCGTTTTTATTATAACTCACCCTAACGATGGCCTAGAAAACAATTTGAAGTGGTTGAATGTTGAACTTGATTCCTTGGTTTGCAGTAGAAGAATTTCTTTTTTTTCTTTTGCTTTCTTTTTTTTTTTTTTTTGCTAAGGGAGTGGATGTGAAGTGTTCTTTTTTTTTCTTTTTTTAAAAGAAAGAAAAAGAAAAGAGAAAGAAAGAGAAAGAAAGAAAGAAAGAAAGAAAGAAAGAAAGAAAGAAAGAAAGAAAGAAAGAAAGAAAAAGAAAAGAAAGAAAGAAAGAAGGAAAGAAAGGAAAGAAAG